GGCAGCCTCTGTTCTTCAGCCCCAAACCCGTGCCCTTCTCAGGGCCTCTGCCCGCCGGGCAGCGTTGCCACCCTGCCGGCCATGGAGACCCCATCCCAGCGGCGCGCCACCCGCAGCGGGGCGCAGGCCAGCTCCAGCCCCGCATCGCCCACCCGCATCACCCGACTGCAGGAGAAGGAGGACCTGCAGGAGCTCAACGACCGCTTAGCGGTCTACATCGACCGTGTGCGCTCGCTGGAGACGGAGAATGCAGGTCTGCGCCTTCGCATCACCGAGTCTGAGGAGGTGGTCAGCCGCGAGGTGTCCGGCATCAAGGCCGCCTACGAGGCCGAACTCGGGGATGCCCGCAAGACCCTTGACTCGGTGGCAAAGGAGCGTGCCCGCCTGCAGCTGGAGCTGAGCAAAGTGCGTGAGGAGTTCAAGGAGCTCAAAGCACGGTGAGTGCGCCCAGGTGGCGGTGTGCGGGGCAGGGAGGAGCAGAGAGGGCCAGTGGACTGTCGCCCCAGCCCGGCACCAGGCGGCTGATAACTTTGCCATGTAGTCTCCTCCCTCCCCGGAACTGCCTCCAGCGGATGACTGGCAGTGCCAAGGGAAATTGTCAAGACAGGACAGAGTGGGGAAGGGTCTCTGGGAGAGGGTGGAGTATATAAGCTATGAGGGGGCATCTGGGCCTAGTAGGGACTGGTGGCAGGCCCACATTCCAGCAGGGTGAGATTTAGCAGCCTTTTGGGGCCTGGAGGAAGGCCTTGGGCAAAGCCGAACTGGCCCTGCCTAAGAAATCTGGGCACCCAGGATATGTTGGAGTGGGTGAAAGGGTCCTGTTAGAACTTTCTTGGCAGGTTTGGCACTGGGCCAACTTCCCCCAGCCTGGCTTTGAACACATGACACCCACTAAAACAGAGCTCACAAGCCGGCAGATGTCCAGTGGTGCTGGAAAGGGGTCTCCAAGGCAGGTTGACCCTTTTTCCCTTGCAGGGGTATGGCAATGGCCTCCTTGGCACAACCCTTTCCAAGGTTCTTTCTAAAAGTTGGGAAGCTCTCCCTCACTCCCTGCGTGGCTGGGACCTTCCCTAGACTCTGACAGGCCCACCAAACAGCTCCAGGAGAGCGGCTGGCTCCCCCGCAGCTCCCACAGCCCTTGGCCTGCTTGGCCCAGGAATGCAAGGGAGGGAGGGAGACAGGGCAGAGGCTCCAGCTCAGGAAGTTGTGCTATGCCCAGGTCTGCACGCCCCCCTGGCCCTCTGCCTGGAGACTTTGAGGGTCGGATCAGGGGCCCTGTCCCTCCCTGCCTCCTTCCTTGGGATAAACCACTTTCATTTTCCCAGCCAAGCCAAGCAATCTTTGCTCTGGCCTGTCCTCTCAGCCACTGATTTTTTTTTTAATCTTTGCCTTATTAAACTACTGGAATACAATGACATTTTTGAAATCCAGCCGTTGGAACCTTCAGGCCACTCCTACCTCACCCATCCCTGCCCCACCCTACCGCACCCTCCTTGGCTCCTCCCTCTTTTCTAAAAAGGCCTTTGGAGCTGGGAAATTTAGGCCCTCTTTGGCCCCTCAAGAATTTGTTTTTCCTCCTCTGTGTTCTCCTTTTCTCTGTTGAAGACCTTAGCCAAAGAGCACTAATGGTGCTTGGAGATCCCTGGTGGATGGTGGAGGGGGCCCTGTGGTTTGCCTTCCTTTCTTTCCCCTTTCGTCTCCAAACTCATGGGCTTCTCAGAACCTCTATGTATTCCATGCTCTTTATACTCCTTTGCTCACCCCCTGCCCTAGGCATGGTGGGTGTGGCAGACCCATTCCTTTGTGAAGAGTAGATGGAAACTGTGTGGAAGATAGGTTGACTGTATTTCTGTTGACAGGGATCACCCCTGTCTTTGTCCACTGGTGACATGAATAACTTAGCAGGACAGACAGGCAAACTAGAGGAGTCCCAGAGAATTAGTGTTGTAAACTAGTCCACTCAACTACCAAACTACTACCTTGCAGATCTCTGTGAAGGGCATTCTTGGCAGATCTTTTTCGGGGGAAGATGTTGATCAGGGAACAGGACGAGTGGAGTCTAAGGTCTCTTGCTTACCCAGCCACGCCAGACTGTCTCCTCTGCCTCTTGGTGCAGCTGTCCAGGCCTGGGACACCAGGCGGGTGTGTGTGCACGTGGGGCAGGGCCGGGGGTGGTGTGTGTACTTGTTATATTTAGCCACCTGCCTCTTCTCCCCCGCTGATCCTGGCTGGGGAGGTTGGGCTTCCGGAAAAGGGGGGTGGGTTTGCACACCTGGATTCTAGGCTGATGGGAGGCAGGATGGAGACAAAGGGGGCTCAGACAGGGGTACCTGTCCCTTTCCATGTCCCCAGTGAGAGAAGCCAAGAACTGTTGCTACCTTTTGTGTCTGCAGTGCTCAGGGTGAGGTCAAGAGTGGAATGAAGAATTTAGGAGAGGAAGAAAGGCATTGTCCTAACTCCTCCCACTAAAGCCTAGAGAGAAGGTGTTGTCTGGTTTAATGTTTAATTAGAGCTCAGAGTTCAGGGCCAGGCTTTGGGTTGGGATGCAGAGCTGTCCATAAGATCTTGTGGTGATTCCTGGCCCAGCCTGGGTACCTTGACCACACCCAGGGGTTTGGGGTACCCTCTTGTCAGGTTAGGTTATAGGCTCCAAGGAGAAACACTCCCCCTGCCCACAAACACATACACACATGCTCTCTGTTCTGGAGACAGAGGAATTTAGACACCTAAGTGTGGGAAGAATGAGGAGGTTAAAAGTATCAGGGAAGGGCTGCCTCGGGTCCAGGCTTGGAGCTAGGCCCCACCCCAGGCAGGGCAGCTGGGTGGATGACTCAGAAGCTGCCCCCCTCCCTCCCACCCTGGTGGCTTTACAAGAGATAGCAGGAGATAGGGTGGAGACAGCAGATGTCTTAAAAGGAGAGATGGGGGCCTGAACGTCTGCATCTTCTGCTCCCTGCTCCCCACTGCATCCTGGGATCCTTTCCTGCCTCCTTCCTTAGGACCTCTGGTGGTGGTCTGGAACCGGGGCTCCTGGCGGGCAGTATGCACAAGTAGCTGTAGAGTTGAGTCCAGAGTTATAGGCTTAGGCTGCAGGATGGTGCCAGGGTCTGTGTCTTCCCATGCGGAACTGGAGGAGGAAGGCTGAGTCAGAATTGGGGAGATCCCAGGCCCACAAAGCAGAAGCGCCTCTTCCCCACTGGACAAGGCCTGGGTGCCTGATAACTTCCTGAATTGCCCGCCTTATGTGGCCCCAGTAGTAACAGGCAGGGACCTGTATGCCCAGGTTGATCCAAGCTCTTATCAGGATAAGAATAGCCAAAGCCAGAGAGGTGCAGAGGCTTGTCCCATGTCACACAGCAAGGGAGTGACAGGTCAGGACTTGAGCACAAGCCGCTGACTTACAGTTGAGTGCTCATACCATTAAACCTTACTTCTCTAGCTTAGGGGACAGTTTGGAGACTCTAGAAGGTGGATGGGGTGACTGAGGCCCCCTCCTGCTATCTGGAGATTCTGCTCTGGGACCAGTGTTGCCTCAATGTTCTGCTGTCCTTTAGGGCCTATTAACTCTTAATAGCCTTTGCCCCAGCCTGTACCTGGAAAGGCCTGCCAGGCCATGGACCATGAGACAGAGCTCTGGGAGGCTGGTGATTCCTGTCTTGAGACTGTCTTGGGACTTGTCATGGGAATTGTCTACCTGGATTTGCAGAAGGCTGTGCCCTTTGGCAGATACATAAGGATAATGGGGATGGGGACCTTTAAACATACCTGGGTCCCAGTCCTCACCTGAGGGAACTCCAGGTGTTATCTCCATTATCTCCACCTCCCCTCCAACAAGTCCACATTCTCATTCAGATGAAAAGAAGATGCAGCTAACCTTGGGAGCGGAGCAGTAAGTACTTAAGGAGGCTCCTAGGGCCCCAATTGCCTTCCGACGATTGATGCCCCTGGTTGGCACATCCCCTGGCCTCCAGGAATCTGAGACTTACTCTTGCATGGGACATGCCCATTGTCCTCACTCCCAGTCCCACCCCCAGTGATTCAGTAGCTCAGTGTCAGGGCTGAAGCCAGGGACAGCTGGGGGGACAACTGGTAGGAGATGCCTTCACCTACCAGCTGTGCCCTCTGCTCTCTCCTGACCTCGCCTCCCTCCTCCCCAGCCCCTCACCACCTCTAGCAGCTGCAGCAGCCGAGACCAGGTCTGGCTCAGAGGCCCAGACACTGAGGCAGTTCATCCTGTTCTTACCTCCTTGGGCCCAGTGTACTGAAGATGACACAGGCCGAGCTCTAATATTCTTGGAGATAGCGGGAAAGAGGTTCTTCGGGGAGGTTGCAGGGTTTCCTACCCGTTAACAAGAGGCAAAGTGGGCCACGGCCAAAATGACAGGTAGCCCTGGCCCTCAGTGTCCTTAGTTCTAGGCTTGGCCCTGCCACTAAATTGCTGTGCAACCTTGAGCAAATCACTTCCCCTCTCTGGATTTCCCAAGCTATAAAAGAAAGGGGTTAGGGCAGAAGGTCCCCAGAAATCTCTCCAGTTCCAAAGTAGTACAGTGCCCCGCAAAGTGAGAAAACAGTCCTCTAAAAATATCAAGCCATAAATATTAAAATCAAATATAATTAATGTGAATATAATTATTAGCCAATGCCATTCTCAACAGAAATAATTCCACCAAGTTGTGGAATTAAAAGTACTAACACCCTTCTCTATTTCTTAAAGATAGTTTGTTAGAAACAGTTAATTTATGACATTACACTCTTGACTGATGCCTTGTTTTTATTGCTAGTAAGAAAGGACACTACGTTTTTAATACCTCTCCCTTCAGGACATATCATGTAGGCTGTATCTTGTGGGAGAGGGAGAGTCCCACGGACTTGGGTTAGGGGTAGAAGGGGGACCTGGGAAAGGCAGGACTGTTACCTTAGTGCTGGCCAGGATTAGACAGAGTGAGCCCGGAGCCAGAGGGAGGTGCAGGGTGACCTTGAACTGCTCACCTTCTACCCTTCCTGCACCCATTCTGGCTCCCCCAACCAGAGACCAGGGCTGTGAGGAGTTCTTGGTCCTTAACTATCTCTCAAGGAATGGGACAGTTTGGGAAGGAGGCAGGACAGGGTAAAGGGGCAGGGGCTCCCCTTGTCCATTAGTGGGAGAGGAAGCCTGAATCCTGCCTGTCAAAGCCAGGAATAATTCTGGCTGGGATCCCAGGCCCGGCAGAGGAGCTGAGTCACAGTCGAAGGCAGATTAGAGAGTGGACGGGAGACCCTGAGCTTGTCCAGTGAGATAAAAAGGCTGAGGGGTGGCCCTTTTGTGAGAGCAACGGTGGGTGTTCTTGTAAAGTGGCAGCCAGAAGGATGAGGGTCTGAATCAGGTGGGGGGACAAGTGGAGGGGGGAAGAACACAGGAGTCCCCTTAGGGATGGCTTAGGGGAGCTAGAGACCCTTC